CACAGTGCACGGTGCGGGCGGAGGGGGCCCTGAGACTGGGCAGGTGGATGAGCTGTGTGGGAGGAATCTCGGGCCTGGGAGACGCTGCTGCAGATGTTCCGGGATGAGGCAACAGCGACCTCACCCACAAAGGAAGGGGATGGGTTTCTGGAACCCCCTGCCGGGCTCGCAGCTCGCAAGCCTAGCAGAAGACGCACACGTGCTCGTAGGCACCTTCTGGGGCCAGGAGCCCCAGGCAGTTATCCTGTGACCCCAGCTCCGGGTGGGCCGCTCAGCGGCTGGTGGAGGTAGCTTTCTGCATTTGCAGCCGTGGAGATGGTCCCACTGTGAGCTGTCCCCAGGCCTCTGGCCAAAGTCACGGAGATTAGAAAGAGCAGGATGTGTGGGAGGTGGAGAAGGAGAGTCTGGTCTGGGATCTAAGACAAATCTGCTCCGACCAGGAGCCACACACTGACGAAGGCCCACTCCCACCTAGGATGGGGCGCCCCACCCAGCCCCACGGGGGAAGCAATCACTGCCCCCTCCAGGGTCTCTCCTTGGTGTGAGAGTGGGGGTCCGAGGCTGTGGTGGTATAGCTCTCCCATCGCTTCTCACGTGCGCCTCTCCAAGTAGACAATGGACCCGTGGCCTTGCAGAACCCCCTGGAACAGCTGTGTAAACCGAGCGTGGGAGGTGAGCACGCTCACATCCTCTCCCGAAGGAATGAATGGAAGCAAACAACTAGAGACACCCCTCGGGGTCAAGGGCCCAGAGGCAGGAGCGCAGCCCCATCAGGGCATCACATGAACCCATGGTGCCCCTGGCATGGCGCTGCTCCCCAACTGACCATCACGCTGGCCCAGTGCTGCAGGCCCGCTGAGAGACTGCGCCCTGCAGCCCCCACACTGCCTGCAAGGGGGCCAGACACATCACAGCTGGGCCAGCCGGCCATCCGTCCTCTCCGCACTAGCAGCTGAGGCCCGGCCCCTAATGGGGCATCAGACCAGGCCTCGGAGAAGAGCCACAGCCCTGGAGTTCTCCTGCCTTGTCCTGGGCACAGTGTGGGGCTGGGGAGGACAATGCCAGGGACACAGTTGGACCAGGGCCTTCAGGGAATGGAGGGCGAGTGTGTGGGCCAGCCTTCCAGAATAATGTCCAGAGCCACAGGTTGGTGGCAACGCCCTTCGAGGTCCAGCTCTGGCCCTCTCCTGCGAAGTGCTCCTGCACCACCGCCATCCAGCATCATCCACCACTGTCTGTCCGGTCAGCAGACCCTGAAGCTGGGCTGAGACCCAGCTGTGTGGCCCGAGGCTGCTGGGAGCTGTCTACGCCTGAGCCCCGAGCCCCACCTCTGGGCGGCCCCCCTGCAGTGGAGGCGCGGTTCCCGGGCTAGGATTCTGACCTGCTGCCGGGCTGGGTCCAGGTAGCTGGTCCTTGTCCTGCCTCGCCTTGAGACTTGTGCCAAGCGCACTGTCAACAAGCAAGGGCATTTCGAGGTCGCTGGTTCAATGGTCAACACAAATATCTTCCTAAATCCGATTTGCAAGTAGCTGAACCCTTCCCACCTGCATTAGTAGCTCAGTCTTCCTTCAGTTATCTTTTCAAGTGATATGACCATTTGCTTTTCATTCGAGCATGTTAGAGCTGGGCTTTGGATTATTTCAGAGAACACAGGAGGCAGAAACCAGTCAGCGCAGCCCTGGGTCCCTGTAGGCCCAGTCAAATTTATGGCCCGAGAAGATCCCACTGGTCCTTGGCCTGTAAAAGCAGCCGAAGCAGCGGCTGGCTAATACCCCACAGTTCCATGCGGTTCTTGGTCGCTGTGGTAACCGTGAGGTCCCAGCAAACCTGCATTCCTGCCAAGGCTGTGTGCCAGGAAGGGTCCTCTGAGCCGCCTCGGAGACCGGATCCACGTTCTCCATCAGGAGGGGAAGGCGGGAGTCACGGGCTAGGTATCCTTGGACGACAAAGGGAGGTCCAGCGTGAGGCGGCGCCCATACTGGTGGACACTTGCAAGGATGCTCGGGCCTCAGCCTGGAGCCTCGTCCCGTCGGCTCCGGACCATGGAGCCACGAGGCCAAAGTATGCACAGGGCAGGCATGGTGCACGGCACCCCTGGCCTCCTGGGGGTGTCCCCCACTGGAGGCTAAAGGAGCAAGGGTCACCTTGCTCTGCCCCCCAGCCAAGTCCGGACTGTTTATGGATAAACTGTGGTGCATCCAGACAATGGAATGTCACTCAACAAGGAAGAGACTGAGCTCTCAAGCCACGGAAAGACATGCAGAACCTCCAGGCCATGTGACTGAGTGAGAGAGGCCAGTCTGAAGAGGCTCCGGCCTGCAGGATTCCGGATACAACGTTCTGGAAAAGGCAGGATTGAGGAGATAGTAAATAGATGAGTGGCTGTCAGGGGCTCGGGAGGAGGGGGTGGACAGGCAGAGCACAGGGTTTGGGGCAGTGACTTCTCTGTATGACACTCTAACGGTGGATGCCGGACAGCCCAGAACCCACAGCAGCAGGGCGGAGCCCAGATGTCAACTCTGGGCTTCAGTGAGTGACAAAGTATCGACGCTGGCTGGTTAGCTGTAACAAACGTATAGCACTAACGCGCGACGGTCACGACGGGAAATTGCGGGGGCAATGAGAACGCCACACTCTCTGCTCAGTTTCTCTGTAAATCTAAAACTGTCCTGAAAAGACGTCTATTAAGCAAAAGACAAAGCAAATTAGAGCTGAAACACTGGAGCGGTGAGGGCAGGCGGGGAGAGGCGGGGAAAAGAGTTGAAGCCTTCAGGCCGTCAAGGCGCAGAGATGGGGGTTAATCAGACTCTCGGTTCTAACCAGGCACGGACTCCCTTGAAAGAGACTGAGCGTATAACTTACTCACGAAGGGAGGGAAAATAATGGAATGAGAAAAATCTCAACAGAAAGCTAAAATGGACAAGAGGAAAACACAGGGATGTGGAAATAAACCGAGATGCACCGGTGGGGAGGGGGATGCGAGCCTCAGTCTGAAGAAGGGTCTTGCTCTGTGCCATGACTCAAGCGAGGCACACGGAGACGGGACACAGACCCAGACTCTGCGAAATCAGAGGACATCACGACTTCTGTTTGGACAATAAATTTGGAAACAGAAGAAACAGACAAATTCCCAGGAAAATGTTTGCTATTAAAATTGCCTCCGGGCCGGCCCCGTGGCTTGGCAGTTAAGTGCGCGCGCTCCGCTGCTGGCGGTCTGGGTTCGGATCCCGGGCGTGCACTGATGAACTGCTTCTCCGGCCATGCTGAGGCCGCGTCCCACATACAGCAACTAGAAGGATGTGCAGCTATGACATACAACCATCTACTGGGGCTTTGGGGGAAAAATAAAAAAAAATAAAAATAAAAAATAAAATAAAATTGCCTCCAGAAGAAATGCCAACCCTGCGTGTCTGACAGCTGGGAAAGGTGTTGAATCCGTGTCACAAAGGCCCTGTGACGCCCGGCGGCATATGCGGGAGCCACCGTCTGTCCCGTGAGTGCCTTCAGGGACAGGCCTGCCCTCGATGAGCTTTCTGAGGTGACACTAAGAACCTGACACAGCAGAGCCAGCATGGCCATGAGGACAGAATGCCACAGACAGGTCACGTCCCCTGACGACCACCCAGAACCAGATGGTACAAGTGGTTCGCAGCGACACATGAAGACACGCAGTGTGAGGGAGTGGAGTGTATCCCAGGAGTGTAAACCAGCACAGCATTAGCAGAATTAGTGTAATTCACCACATTAACAAATTAAAGGAAAAAACTGTGATCTCACCACTGGTGGAGAAAAAACCATTTGCTAAAGTCCAACATCCATTCATGACTAAAGGTACCCAAAACAAGCAACACAAAACTTGACTTCCTAGTAAACCAGAAATAAAAAAGATCTTGATCATGGCGGCCACAAAAAGCCAACCCACAGCTTAAGTCAGGCTCCCACCAGGCCCTGGGATGCTGGAAGCATCTCCTTGGCAATCGGGGGAGGCCTGTGCCTGCTGCACCTGCAATCGGACCCCCAGACAGGGAAGGAAGAGAGACAGAAGCACAGCTCGCAAGATGACGCGGTGCCGCCACTCTTCACGTGACTCTTCTGGGCCCGCAGCCACGGCTGGGACTGAGAGGTGCGGAGGAACGACGAGCACGGACAGTCACATTCAGGCGACAGAGAGGAAGGAGTTCAGTTCAAACCTTCCGTGTACAGCACCAACAACAGAAAGAAGGTTCCTAGGAACGAAGCTGCCCCAGTGTGTATGGAAACGTCGTTATGTGGATGTCACACGTCCCCTGGGGGATTAAAGGGACCTAAACAGCTGGAGTGGCAAATCCCTGGTCCTGGACAGGAAGACGACCCTGTAGGGATGTCGGCTCTTCCCGCCAGACTCGACGCGACCTCGTCTGCATCAGGGAAACGCCATGAGCCACAAGCAGACCACCCCTCATCCCCAGCACGGCTCCAGCGAAGACGACCAGCAGCGGCGGTGCTGGCGAGGACGTGCCGCCTGCAGCTCCCCGGCACGCTGCAGGGTGAGGGGACAATGGGGCAGCCCGCAGTCACACACCCTGCCCTGTGACAGACCCCTTGGAAGACGGCAGGTTTACTCGTCACGGTGAGACCTGCAAACCCCAGATGTCCGTCGACAGAGGGGCAGGTAAGTCAGCAGCGGGATACTCGTACACGGGACGGCTCGGGAAAGAGGGAGCAGCCGATACACAGGCGAACACCACAGGCGACCTCAGCTGAGATGCCAGCGAGGCAGCTCCAGCACAAGGGACCCTCTGCGCCCGTGGACTGGGGTCCAGGGCAGGCAGGAAGAGCCCAGTGTGTGGAGCAGCACGGGCACCTCTCATCTGGAAAGGGTGCTCCGGGGTGCATTTCACAGGGTGTGGGTTAGACCTTGATAAAAACAATAAACACAACACAGAAACTGAAGATCCCAACATGTATGTTTTGGGAACCGACAGGCGGATGCTCACGTGTAGAGTGGGCCTTGGGCTCACCTGGAACAGGATCTGTAAGGCCCCGTGGAGGATGCACATCCGCCGTCCGAGGAAGACAAAGAAGGGCACCACGAGCTCCAGGAAGTGGTTGCCGAGCGTCTCGAGGCGGTGGACCCACCATGGAGAGCGGTGCAGGAAGTAGGCCGCGGGGTTGGGCACTGGCTGCGTCTGCGGGAGAGAGGGAGGCCCGTGAGCTGAGCCTGGGAACCCGCCCCCCAGGGGACCCTGCCACTCCAGCCCTGCCCACTCGGTACCCACCGGCCGGTCTAGGAGGGCAAGGGGGGCTTTTGCAGGAAGGTCATGGCTGGTGCCATCCTGACCGGGAAAGGCACAAGGAGGCTGGCGCCACAGCCCTTCCTCCAGCAGCTCACCCAATGCCAAGAGGTGAGTCACCAAGACGGGACGATGGTGTCTCGGCCTTCTCTACCTGCCTGGTTTCCTGTACTTCTGATACTGACCCCCACCCCCTTCAGGCGGCCCCTGATGGCCCTGGTGACGTGGGAGCTCACATGCGGGGTCAGAGCCCGGAGAGCCCTGGGTGAAGGGGCAGGGCACGTGGGAAGGGGGTAGCTCTGAGGGAGCCCACGACTCAGGCCGATGCCCACGTGGCGGACTTCCACTGGGAGCCTGGTGAGCGGGGTCCTGGCCCCGCGTGTGTGTTCCTGGGAACGGCCAGCACATGAGTGTGGGGTGGGTGGGTGCAGCATGTCCCAGGAGGCCCACGTGTTGACTCAGCCGTGATGCTGGCCGCCCTAGAGCCCAGCTGACAGGCCTGCACCTCTGACCACAGGGCCCTGTCCTCCCTCAGCCACCCAGCAGCAGCTGAGACCAGAAGCAGGCCACGCGGCCGACTACCCTCAAGAGGGGCCAACTGTGCTGACGCCGTGTGGGGCTGGGGCACGTTCCCTGGTGTGGACAGCCTGCTGTGGGTGAGGGGCGTGGTCTCCCTGTGCAGCTGCCCTCACAGACCTGCCTTCCCGTCTTCGGAGAGATCTGCGATTCCATGAAGGGTGTGCGGCCACCGTGCCCCCCACCACCCAGGCCTGGGAACTTGGGGGTCTGAAAGCAGACGCGGGGGAGCCTGCCGAGGGCCTCGCTCCTCCTTACGCTGCCGAGCACAGTCTGAGCACAGGCCTCCTGAGATGCACTTCTCCTTCCTGGGACTTATGTTCTCTGCACAGGCAATCTCACACACACACACGCAGATACACGTACACGCAAGCACATGCACACCCCGCAGACACGAAGGCCGCTGTGTGGGGTGGCGACGTCCACGTCAGAGGGAGACAAGTGGCTGACAGTGGTTGTGCCGGCATGGTTCCAGTTTTGAAACCTAACAATGTTTCTGATAATGTTAAATGGACTTCAGTGTCATAGACGGTTTAGATCCCAGCAGAAGGAAGTGCCCTCCTGCAGCTGCTACTGCAGCACCATCCCCCCCACAGCCACGTGGGTCCCCCCATACGGCCCCCCATCTGTCCTCCCACCTGCCCTGCGGCCCCAGGCACGGGCACGGCTGCAGCCCGACCCTGGATTTGCTGTGGACACAAGGAAGCGCCTGCTGTGCGGTGGGCACGGGGAGGTGACGGCTGAATCCACAGGGACACTGGTCGCAGTGCACTTGCCTGGGTGCCCTGAAGAGCCTCCCACCTGACACTCAGGGCAGCGGGAACAGATGAGAGATAGTGAGAGAAAGCGACGAAAAAAGGTGGCCCCGGCCCCCACAGCTCAGGGGCGGAGGTGGCTCCAGGTAGGACAGCCTAGGGGGAAGGGCCACCGTCCCCTCCGGGAAAGTGTTTTTCTGCTAACTTCTCATTTGGACTCGATTTCCGACTTACAGAAGTTAGAACAGTACAGAAAAGCCCTGGACGCGCGACTCCCCGTGTTTCCACCCCCATGCTCCACCCCTCACATGCATGTGATTCGGGCCCTCCGAGGGCAGCCCTGCGCCCTGATGCTCCCCCGTGACACTCCCAACCAGGAGGGCTCTGATGGCGCAGGGTCACGACTGGGGACTCAGGACTGACGCTGGCCTGCCCCGAGGGCCTGACTCCTGCAGGTGCCTAAATGATACCTCTTTATCACGCTGCCTTTGGCTCCCACGTCCAGTCCCCTAACCTGAGTTTCAGGACGCTCCAGAGCACAGCTCACTGGCAGCTCGTTCCTCGCGGTGGCTCTGGGGCACACGTTTGGCAGGAAGACCCCAGAGATGACACGTGTCCTTTCTGGGGCCCAGGGGTCTCGCCTGGATCTCTGGGTGAGGGTGTCGGCAGGGTCCTTCTGGCAGAGCTGCACGTGCCCTCTGAGTAGTTCGAGGCTGTGAGATGACCTGTCCCCCCCGATTTGGCAGTTTCAGAGTCCTTCGATGATTCCTGCGGGTGGTCTGTGGCATCTGCACGGTTGAGGTCCGGGTCCGCTGCTCCTCCCGCAGTTGTGAGCTGGTGTTTCGCTGTAAGGAGAAGCTGCCCCTCCTCCCCACGCACTTGCTTGTGCCGGTGTGGATGTGTAGGTTATTTCATTCAGGGGGTGGTGATCCTTCACCGTCATTTATGTTGACGTGTCCATACCACCTTCTGAGTTTCCCTACTCTCTGGCACTAAAGGTGCCCTGGGGTCACCTGCACCCCCCCCCCACCCGCTCCAGCCCTTGGCACAGCCATTTCTCTGAGAAGCCCTGGTCCCTCTGCCTGGAAGCTGCATTAGGAACCCAGCCTGGGCCAGGCATTGCTGTCTCTGGGTCCCTTGGTGGGCACAGCTGGGAGACGTGTGAGCCTGTGTCATTGGTTCCACATCCACACCCATCTGGCCTGCAGACGTCTGTGTCTACCTGTATTCTGAGCAGATTTCTGCAGCTCTGGGGGGCCCAGCAGGCCTTGCCACATCTTTCCCCAGGAGCTCCCAGCAACTAACGCCTGTGTCCACTTGTGAACGTGGAGGGTCGACGATGGAGGAGCAAGGGGATGCAGGGCTGTGGAGGGCGACATGGTGGGCAGGCGGGCAGCAGAACTGTGGGGTAGCCTTGCTCAAAGGCCCGTGTTTCCTGACCATGGATTTGCCACAAGCCAGTTAGGGCCTGACTGGAGTGAAGCCACCATGATCTGAGATTGGAAATGTCCTGGTGGTCAGCAAGCAACCTCAATCAACAAAACAGGCAGCATCAAGAGCAAGTCCAAACATTTCAGCTTTTCCTAAACAGCAGAGCTTTTCCTGGATGTGGTGTGTGCGTCTGTAGGAGCGAGGTGTGTGTGCGCGAGTGTGTGAGCGACAGAGCGAAATGTGCTCATGAGCGAAATGTGTGCATGCGTGATGGTGTGAGTGAGGTGCGTGCATGCGAGTGTATGAGAGGTGTGTGTGCGTGCGAGAGAGCAAGGTGTGTGTGAGAGGTGTGTGTGGGTGCGAGTGAGGTGTGTGTGCAAGTGCGAGGTATGTATGCGTGCGAGTGAGAGCAAGGTGTGTGTGCATGCACGTGTGTGAGAACGAGGTGTATGTGCACACGTGACTTGTGAGAGTGAGGTGTGTGTGCACGCGTGTGAGAGCGAGGTGTCTGTGTGTGCGTGAGGTGTGCGCACACAAGTTGTGAGAGCGAGGTGTGCACATGCACGCACAGGTGAGCAAGGTGTGTGCGTGTGAAGGTGTGAGTGAGGTGTGTGCACGCATGTGAGCGAGGTGTGCGCGCATGTGGGTGACAGCGAGGTGTGTGCGCATGCGTGTGCGCACGTGGGTGTGAGCAAGGTGTGTGCACACGGGTGTCTGAGAGCGAGGTGTGTGTGCACGGTTCTGTGGGAGCAAGGTGTGCACGCGTGGGTGTGTAAACAAAGTGTGTACGCGCAGGTGTGTGAGCAAGGTGTGTGCACGCGTGGGTGAGCAAGGTTCGTGCGCATCTGTGGTGTGAGAGCAAGGTGTGCGCGCACGCGAGGTGTGTGTGCGCGCGAGTGAGCAAGTTGTGTGTGCGCGTGACCACTGAGGTGTGTGCACACGTGAGTGTGAGTGAGGTATGTGCATGTTCGCAAGTGTTAGCAAGGCGTGCATGCGCGCGACTGTGAGCGAGGTCTGCACGCAGTGAGAGCGAGGTGTGTGTGCGCGAGTGTGAGCAAGGTGTGTGTATGCGCCAAAGGTATGTGCTTGTGTGTGTGAGGATGTGTGCATGCGCAAGTGAGCGAGGCGTGTACACGCGCGAGTGGAAGGTGTGTGCATGTGAGAGCCAGGTGTGTGTGTTCACGCGAGTGTGAGCGAGGTGTGTGCGCGCACGCACAGGTGTGTTAACGAGGTGTGTGCACGGTGAGCGTGTGCGTGTAGGTGTGTGAGGGCGTGCGCATATGGGCGTGAGCGAGGTGTGTGCACGCAGGTGTGAGAACGAGGTGTGCGCACATTTGTGAAAGCGAGGTGAGCGCGCGTAGGTGTGTGCACGAAGTGTTTGAGTGCATGGGTGTGTGAGAGCAAGGTGTGTGCCTGTGGGTGGAAGCAAGGTGTGCACACACGGGTGAGAGCTAGGTGTGCGCGCATGGGTGAGTGTGAGGTGTGTGCACGCACGCGTGAGAGCACGAGCGTGTGAGCGAGGTGTGTGCGTGCACGTGTGCATGAGAGCGAGGTGTGCTCGCGCGAGTGAGGTATGTGTGCATGAGTGTGAAAGAGGTGTGTGCGTGTAATGTGTGCCCGCGCGAGTGTGAGGTGTGTGTGCATGCGAGCATGAGGTGTGTGTGCGAGTAGGTGTGAGAGCGATGTGTGCATGCACGTCGATGTGTGAGAGCGAGGTGAGGGCGCGTGCACAGGTGTGTGAGCGAGGTGTGTGCGCGTGCGTGTGAGGAAGGTATGCGTGCGCGGGTGTGAGAGAGCCTGGTGTATGTGTGCACGTGGGTGTGTGAGAGCGAGATGCCCTGGACAGGAAGGCGCGGCTGACAGGGGGCCCAGGGGGCCCTGTGCATGGGGCCAGCCGACCACAGCTCGGTGTGCTCCGGCGGCCCCTCCTGTGGGAACCCTGTGGGGAGGGGGACCCTGTTAAGAGGCTCCTTCTCTGCAGACCTGGAAGAACGCCCCAATGGGCAGGAGGTACACAACCACCATGCCTTGTTCCCCGAGTCCACGAGCCCTCGGTTAGACCTCAGGGTTGGGTTTCAGTGAGTGGCTGGTGGCGGGCCAACTCTTGGTGGCACACACAGGTCAGGGCAGCGC